CCGATCTTTGCGGTGGCGTATTGTGTGACAACCCATTCGTAGCAATTGGGGGACCAAATGCCCACTCGAGTCCTTTTGACACAACCAATGCTCTGCAAACCTTTCGCCAATTTATTTACCTTTTATTGAATACAATGTTAAATCAAATTTTAAATATTTTCATAATTGCGATAATTTTGTGCATTTGTCTCACGTCTTCATTCAATTGTCTATAAGTTTTGCTAATATTTTGTTGCATCGAAACGCAGGCCATAGTGTCGGCCGAGTCTACGGCTCTCTTCTCCAACAATTGTCCGATTGTTGTCGGAGTCAGCGATTCGTTGGATTTTGTGAACGCATAGCTATATTTACACCGATATGTATTCACTAACTTTACACCCGTTAGAGATCTCGAAGACCACAGAGTTTTTAATGAAAACATTTATTACAAATAGTATAGACAGTGAAACTCAATTCTTTATAAGTATTTTTTTAGTGTCTTATAACTTGAATTAATAACGTATATTCGAAATAAATTTGAATTTTTAAAAATAATATACTGTACTTTATAATTTGATTTTTGTATACTATGTATTATTGGCTTCAGTAATGTGCGCGAAGAGTATACAGTGTTGTGACCATTCAATGGACTATTGTTGTCGTGAATCTAATTTTATTGAAAATTTTAATTTTAAAACTTCTAAATTCTAGTGACTACACCTTATTTGTCTGAATTAACCATCATTTCATGATATGGTTTCTGCATTATAAATGTATTAAAATTTAATTTAATAATTTCATTAAATTTTATTCTAGTTTTTATAATTATCAATTTTTTTACGAAATTTTAGTGAACATTTGTAATTTTTTTAAATGATTTAAGAGTTATAGTTATCATCCAAAAAGTGTTTGAATCAATACAAAATATTTCAAATATAGATATTTTCATTTACCATTTCATTTAATATTCATAACTTTTATTTCTAACAAAATCTTGTTTCAATGATTTTTACTAAATAGCATTGCAATCATTTAGCGTATAATTGTTGAGCCATTTGTTTGAGTTTGTATTTCTCGATCTTTCCGGTCACAGTTCGGGGAAAGTCGTCCACAAATTCAATATTTTTTGGTATTTTAAAATGACTTATCTGTCGGTGAAATGATTTACACTGTAAATTTTACAGTAATAACACATAAAAACATAATTTTTAATTAGTTTCATACCTTTCCCTTACAATAACTTCTTAACGAATCTTTATCTAAAGTACTGTTAGTTTTCTTTATAACAAATGCCACCAAATCTTCTCCCATTCTCTCGTCAGGAATTCCCACAACCTTTGCATTACAATATTATTAGTTATTTAATAATTAATTAATTATTAATACAAAATATAACTGAATATTAAATTTATGTTATGTTAATATAATAATACCTGAATATCTACCACATCTTCGTGTTTAATAATAAAGTCCTCTATTTCTCGGGGATATATATTTTCTCCGCCCCTTATTATCATATCCTTTAATCGGCCACTAATTGAAATATATCCCAATTCATCCATTATTCCGATGTCTCTAAACCAAATCACAGACAAATATTTTTAATTCATTTCAAACACAAATACATATAAGTCATACATTCATTCATAAGCCATACCCCGTGTGATACCATCTATTCTTGTCGATCACTTCATCTGTTTTGTCCTTTTGATTCCAATACCCGGCGAACAGATTGTGTCCTCGAGTGCACACCTCTCCCGCTTCACCGATAGGACAGATCTCACCGGTAGTTGTGTTCATTATTTTTGCCTCCAAGTGCTCTAAGGGTCGTCCAACCGATTCAAACCGATGCTTCTCTGAGTCGTGTATTGATGTGAATGTTATAACAGGACTGCATTCAGTCGTCCCGTAAGGTATCTATTAGTTAGACAATTTTAGACTGAGTTAATGAGTAAATTATTAAATGTTTTCATTTAGTTATAGACCAGAATGTGTTCACACGAGGGAAAGGCTTTTATAAAGGCTTCCAATAAGGGCTTAGGACAGGGACTCCCAGTCATAAAACCTATCATTTATCGCAACAGATATTTAGATAAAATTGATTAAATTTTTAATGAAAACCTCGTTTTAATGAACTGGTGTTATAGTCCTGAGGATTTGAATTCAACAGATCGATAAACATAGTGGGAGTGCCGTAAACCACATCACATCTAAAGGTAACAAAAATGTTATTTTTTAAAAATTCATTTATAAAAGTAATTCACTTGTATTTGTCAATAGCCTTAAGAGTCTCGGTGGCATTGTGTACGGGTGAGGGCAGTACTAAAGTCCCCTTATGAACAGCGGCTACGACTCCGCCGACCACTGATCCAAAACAGTGATAGAGTGGTGGAGATATACACAGAATCTTATCAGTTAGACCTTCGAGAGCTCTTTTTCCAGCAAAATATGCATTTTGCATGATATTATGATGTGTTAGAGTCGCGCCTTTCGGGGCACCGGTTGTGCCGGAAGTGAACTGAATATTAATGGATTCGTCAAAATCAAAAGATGTGTTCACATTATTATTGCCGTCAAAACTAGTGATAAACTCATTAAATCTAATCATATTCTTCGGCGCGTATTCCTCTCCATCCGTGCTATTCATCACAAGAATATTCTCAAGAGTTGGGATTTTAGTGCCTAAACATTATTAACAACAATATTTAAGTTAAATTTAAATTAAATCTTATAATAAACACAACTTTTAACTCGATATTCATCGGCTTTAGTTAAGATATTAGGTTCCAAACTCTCTAATATATCACAATTGTTAGTCCCCTTAAAGCGTTGATTACATATCAATGTATGACAACCGACTAAATTGAGACAATAATCCATTTCCATGGCCTGATATCCGGGGTTAACGTTTACCTAAACTTTCGGAGCAAACAAACATAATTTACATCAATATCTATAAAACAAATCATTTATAAAACAAATTGTTAAAAAAATCGCCGATTGCTAACCATAATGGCCCCGATCTTTGCGGTGGCGTATTGTGTGACAACCCATTCGTAGCAATTGGGAGACCAAATGCCCACTCGAGTCCCTTTAGTACAACCAATACTTTGCAAACCTTTCGCCAATTTATTAGCCTATTATTGAATTCAATTTCAGACATTTTCAAAATACAATTCTGCATTTGTCTCACGTCTTCATTCAATTGTCTATAAGTTTTGCTAATATTTTGATGCATCGAAAAGCAGGCCATAGTGTCGGCCGAGTCTACGGCTCTCTTCTCCAACAATTGTCCGATTGTTGTCGGAGTCAGCGATTCATTGGATTGTGTGAACGCATAGCTATATTTACACCGATATGTATTCACTAACTTTACGCTCTTTAGAACTCTCGAAGAACTAAGAATTTTCGGGAAAAACATTGTAACTTAAAATAAAAATTTCAAACAATTAAGTTTATAATGTGGTAAAATTGGTTGTAATACAAATATCTAAATAATTACTGGCGATAGAAATTATTGAATGAAAGACAAGTATTTATATAACATAAACATTCTTGTATTGAAGGTCAGTTGAAATTATGTTACAGTAAACTTTAAGGACCATTAATTAAGTTTGCTTGTACATAGTATAGTCTTACTCTAGTTAATGTACACCAAAAAAGAGAGATGAGCAAGATAGTTAATTTTTAAACAAAAGTTTTTACAAATAAATTGTAAATCTCTCTCTCTCTCTCTCTCTCTCTCTCTCTCTCTCCTCTTAATGGAGAGAATTGTATGTATGGAAGTATTATTTACAATGTTCAGACATTTAAAATATTAATCAAATGTGTGTGGCTGTGATAAATAAATGTGATAATTAATGTGCAATTAATGATTCAATATTCTGATGATTGGCCACAAAATATAGCATAAGTCATATGCCATACAAAACACTAGAATTGCATTTTATTCGCAAAGTTCTCAAACTTTTTTCCAACACTTTATTGAGCCGTAAGTTATGAGCGACTCATTAATGCTCTTCACTTCGGATGTCATGTGTTTTGTGAATCACAAATTGTGATCACATATTGCGATGAATTGTCCGCTCATTTGACCACTGGATCAGACCATCGATGGCCAGACGTATGCCAACCGATGGCATCAACACTCAGGCCAACAGTCGTTTCGCTCAAGAAGTGAAGCACACGTTTGAGTGGACTCTCTGTCACTCAATCCAAGACATCGTTAAGAGTCCGGTATTTGTGACCAAAAACAACACCAAATGGTATCTGAAAGTGGACTTAAGGCACGTCCGGTGGCGCAAGAGTCGGCTCGGAGTACACCTCGTGCTCGACAGCTGTCCCGTCGGTCGGCCGCCGGTCGACATCCGCTTCAATGTCTGCAAAGTGGCGGTCAATGAGTTGAGACAAACCAAAGAATTGGTCACTATTTTCAGCAAACAATCGACGCTTAATCCCAACGACTCGTTGGGCGAAGACGTGGTGTTCGACGACTACTTCGACAATGAGTCCAATTTTACCATTTATTTCGAGATAATTCACGTCAACTCTCAGCCGACTATTGTCGACAAAGTGGGCAATCATTTGGTCCGCGATCTTAAAGCGATGGCCGACGAGAAGACGTTCAATGATGTGGTGATTACAGTGAAGGGACAGGACTTCGCGGCCCACAAGTGTCTGCTGAGCGCCAGATCTCAAGTGTTTCGCGCGATGTTTGGATCCGATATGAAGGAGAGTCTTGAGTCGCGCGTTGAGATCAACGACATCGAAGTGGAAGTGTTTGAACAGTTGTTGCAATTCATATACACAGGAAGCGCACCAGAATTGGACGTATTTGTCGAAGAGCTGCTCATTTGCGGCGAATTCTACGGCATAACTGATCTCAAGAATATTTGCGAAGAGGTTTTGTGTCAAAACATTACCACAGAATCGGCCATCGATTTGATGTCATTCGCCATCAAATATAACGCCAACACTCTTAAGGAGCGACTCATTGACTTCATTGCAGATAATTATCTGGAAATTGAGACCAAATGTCCCAATAGTTTGTGTCATTTGTATAAAAACGAGTCCAAAATAATTGAGACAATTGTCCATAAAATGGCAAAATTAGTGAAACAAATATAATTACAAAAGTGTTATCAAAAATTTAATTTATTTACGTTAAAAATTTAAACTTAAAATTATGTATAAATTGATTAATTTAATTGTTTTGTACTTTAAGTCTTAATTTAATTAATTAATTAAAATAATTCAATTCACTTGAATGTAAAAACTGGGAATAAATGGTATAAACTTTCATTAATTTGATCAAAAAAATGGCTAAAAAGGCAGTAATTGGCGACACTTTTTCGCCCCGCAAAGACATCTGATACTGGACTCGTTGGCCGCCGACTGAGACACGCATTCATGACTAGTTGTGGTGAACGACGACGACGTGTATCCGCTGTCCGACGAATTGTCGTCACAATTAGTATTCTTAATATAAAACCCGTTTTGATCGATGGACAGCGTCTGGCAATTGTAATCATAAGTCAATTCTTCGTACTCTTTGATGTCTCTGTTGGCGAAGAAACCGATTCGCGGAACAAATTGTTTGTCATCTAATGGCGCCACTAAATGGTGGTCCAGATTGGGTTCGCACGAGTGATTCACAAATCGAGTTATGTTAGCGTAATATTCGGCGTCAATGAAGAGGGTTTGGCCGCAAAACTCGGCGTCAATGTTGAAGAAATAGGTGGTGTCTCTGCCCTTCGTTTTCGACGAATCGATTACTTCCCCTAAATATTGCATTACATAAGAGTCGCGAGGAATGCGTTTTTTGGTCATTACTCCCCAACCCTTACCACTCGTCCGGAATAACACCAAATGGGCGCCAATCGAGCCCTTCTGGAGCCGCCGATTGGGGCACTCGTGGGAACACTTGCACTGACTGTTGCACTCATGCATTACAAACGACGACTTAAAGCCGCAATCGTTGTTGATATTGTCGACGCAAACGCAGGGCTTATCGCCGATACAATTGTTACTACACTTACAGCTGACGGCTTTCACTCGACAACTCTTGACAACCGTTGTGTGCATTTGGTATTTATGCAAATAACTGATTTTTGTCGGGACCTCCAGATCCACGTGATTCTCCACCCAAATCCTGTCGTCAGCGAACCCGCACTCAACCAATTGCTTATTGATTTT